AGATAAAACATAACTTGAGGAGCACGGACGACGAAAGCGCACAGCCGCGGACGACGAAAGCAGCTTGGATTAATGCCACTAATTGTGGGTTCGAGCGCCACCACGACCACCCCAACCACCGCCAGTGCAATCTACCAGCGCCACCACACGCACTCCACCACCACCACCACACACAGTCCACCACGCACCAACACCATACCCACCACCAGGGTGCAACACACTCCGCACTGTGCACTCCACAACACCCTAAACCCTAAACCCTAAACCCTAAACCCTAAACCCTAAACCCTAAACCCTAAACCCTAAACCCTAAACCCTAAACCCTAAACCGCCACACATGCGCTCGCGGAGACCAAGGTCGATCCAGATCCGCGGAGCTGTCCGGGACATGCGCTTCAGAGAAGTAGTTTAGGGTTTAGGGTTTAGAGTTTAGGGTTTGGGGTTTAGGGTTTAGGGTTTAGGGTTTCGGGGGTTTTGGGTTTAATCTATCGCCACCCCCCAACTTAAAGTAAAGAATCGATAGATTCGACGAATGGCGACCCCCCCTTCCCCCTACCCGAGAAAGTCTAAAACAACCTTTGAACACTGAACCCTATACACCTGATCCCCCTACCCGCCAGATTCAGCAGGCCAACAAAACACGAACAATACTCCCATTTTTGGAGTAGTTGACCCTAAACCTAAACCCTCAACCCGTTAAACCCTAAACCCAGAAAAGGGGGAGGGGGAGTGGGACTCATCATTCCTTCAACCCCCCCAAAAAGAAAAAAAGACAAGGATCTCAGAACAAAACTCTGACTTTTTGGGGATTGGGGGGGTTGGGGGTCTTCGAGGTTGAGGTAGGGTTTAGGGTTGAGGCTTGAGAGATTACATAGGGTTTAAGGCCGCTAAGCACACTCAGAAATGCCAGCCCCAAACCCTTGGGACCTGCTCATTCCCCGAGAAGGGCCTGGGCTTGAGATTTTAGGGGCATAGGGTTTAGGGTTTAGGGTTTAGGGAAACCTGGAAGGGTTTAGGGTTTCGACACTACGGTTTAGGTTTGAAGGGACCCTTGATCGTCTTCCCTACGTACGTAACGCCTATATCTATATGAAAAGGAAAACCTTACAGATTCCCTATGTGTCCCGAGATACTCGAGTAGCCCCAAAGTAGCCCCTCAGGTCTCTTGTCAGGGTCCCTCCTTTAGTCCCTTAATTCTGTCAGGCACACGTCGAGTGCTTTGTTCTGTTCTTCGTCGGGAATCATACAAGAATAACTTCTTAGGCTCTACTTGGAGGTTCAGGGTACTTACTAACCCAAAAATAACTGTACTTACAACACAATTAAAACCCTATTAGGGCACTTAAGGGGCTTCTAAGTGGGTTAGAAGTACAGTTGCATTTGGTTCATGAGTGCCATGAACCTCCAAGTATCAAGGGGATATGAAGCACCTGATTCCCCAGTCCCTACTTAGAGCCAGTCAGACTCGGTTGCGTGCTCCAGGTTTCCCCAAGCGTTCGCAGGGTGCAAGCCATGGAGTTCGAGGGTATTTGGGCTTCGGTTTAGGGTTTAGGGTTTAGGGTTTAGGGTTTAGGGTTTAGGGTTTAGGGTTTAGGGTTTAGGGTAAGGCTAGAAGTCCCCTGAATGGCCGAAAGGAGCTGCGCGTGGGCTTCACCCGATCCCCCCCCTATAAATCCTAGGTTCACAACCTGCCCACCAGCAACACTTGACACCGTCACACGCCCAGCCCGATATCCCTGAAGCTGTGGTCCGAAAAAACCTGCTCGGGGTGACCCATTAACCTTTGCAGCCCCGAATATTTTACACCTGACGCCTTCGTAGACTGAACAATTTACGAATCTGCAGCCCGGAACCTGATCTTGGTACCCCAGTAACCATATTAGAATTAGGGCACTCCTTTTTTGGTTGGTTAATTTATACGGGAACCTTGAACCAAAAAAAGGGAAAAGGGTACCACTGGGCAAGTGATACATAGACCCTGGTCCGCAAAGCCGGTGGCCCCCGGTCGCTTGGGAGGGTGGGGGGGTGCAGGGTTTGGGGATGCCAAAACCCTAGCCCTGAGCCACAAACCCTAAACCCTAAACCCTAAACCCTAAACCCTAAACCCTAAACCCCAAACTCCGACCCCCCAAACCCCACAAAAGGAAACATGGAGCCAAGATGCGAGGTAGGGCTCAAAGGTGCCGGGCTCTCCAGTCGGCTCCTACTCTTTGCGAGTCCGAACAGTCCTCGGAGCTTGAAAGTTTCTGAGGCTAGCCCTAACCCTAAACCCTAAACACTAAACCCTAAACCCTAAACCCTAAACCCCTGAACGCTCGGGCAAACATAGGAAAGGAGGGCTTTTTTGGCGTGCAGGTGGGGCTTATGCGGGCTTGTAGGGTCTAGGCTTTGCATGGACAGGGTATGATTCGGATTAAGGGTTTGCAACTTCAGGGTTATACTGGTTTAGAGCTCAGGGTTTCGGATTGCTGACAGCACTATGAGAAACAGACAGGGACGGGGGAGGGGGGTGAAGGGGGCAGCCCTGACGTATGCCGTTGCGGAAGGGCATCTATAACACCAAGTGACAATGAATCCCCCCCAAGAACCCTTTTTGTCCATCTGGGCTGGGTGAACCCTGAACGCCAAAACCCTCAAGTTTCCTCCCGAAGCCTGTCATTCGAAGCCGACGTTCGCCCCAAATGAGCCAAGAACATGGCTTGCGACCTTAGGCTCCTATGTAGTACATGCTCTTAAAGGCTGAATACCCTAGCCCAAAAAGGTTCACCTTTTACATTTAGCAGGATTCTATATAACCAAAACGGTTAAAAGGTTGCCTACCCAGTCCCTAAGTGCTTAAGGTAGTATGCTATATATAATCGCCTACTACAATAACAAACGTAAAAAGGAACTACATTAATCCCCTCTAGCGCTTCACTCAGCCAGTACAAACTTCTCGTCGGAGCGACTAACATGCATTGAAAACATTCACTGAAATTTCATGAACCCTAAACCCTAAACCCTAAACCCTAAACCCTAAACCCTGAACTACTGCTCCGGGTCTTAAACCAAGACCCCCCCTCTCTCCCCTTTCCCTCTGTCCTTCTCATCTCTCTCTCTCTCTCTCTCTCTCTTTCTCTATCTCTCTCTCTCTCTCTCTCTCTATCTCTTCTCCGACAGCTGGCGACCGTGGCCAGATAGGCCATGCTTTTCGAGCCATGCCCCTTAAACCCTAAACCCCGAAAATCCTAAGCCCAGGCTCGTTCTCGTGGATCGTCGACCTCCAGTGAGTCTCTGCTTGACATTTGTTGACGTCCTGCGGTTTAGGGTTTAGGGTTCATGGTTCAGGGTTTAGGCCCACTGTTGTACCTTGATGGTTCAGGGTTTATGAGGTACTACACATGTACGATAAGAACGATAACTACCTCCACAGGCTGTAGCGAAGAGGCTCATGCAAAGCAGGGAAAACCCTACTAGGATGGGCTAGTAGGCCCTATAACCCCCATCATCAACTCTATGAAAGAGCCTTTTTAAAGGACGGTTTAGGGTTTAGGGTTTAAGGTTTAGGGTTTAGGGTTATAATAGCCCGGCCTGGTATGGCTGCAAGTAAATGAAGACATTCATGACCAACCCCCCGCCTACTCGTGTTGCAGAGCTCCAGACTCCAAAGATCAGATTTAGACAGGCGGGGAACCTTCTGGCGAACAAGGCCGCATTACAGAAGGGTGCTCAAAAAAAGAACCCTAAACCCTAAACCCTAAACCCTTTTTACAACAGGCCTCGGTTCACAGCAGCCTAAACCCTAAACCCTAAACCCTAAACCTAAACCCTAAACCCTAAACTTGCACATCTTCAGCGTCTCGTGCTGGTCATGGTACGAAACTCAAAAGCCCTGAACCCTAGACCCGATCTACCACCTGCCTGAGGCGCCGGAGCTTCAGAACCCCCCCCCCCCCCCCAACAAAAATTGAAAATACTCTTTCTTATAAGGGAAATAACATATTCTTTCTTATAAGGGTAAGAACATATCTTTCATATAAGGGTAATCTATAGGGATTGTTATCTTTTATTGGTCTTTTGGGGGGGTTCTTAAGAAAGTAGTGGAAATGTACATCCAATCGCTCTTTCTCTTTGTGGCCTCGAGTCACGAGAACCGGGAAGCCCAGAAACCCTGGTGCCAAGATGTCCTTTAGCATACCAAGCGGAATCGCCGGAGGACTCTGGCCGCTGGGGCGACACAAGCCTGAGTTTAGGGTTTAGGGTATAGGGTTTAGGGTTTACGTTGAGGACATGAAGGATCCCAACAGTGGATGAACTCATGATTCGAAACTGTGTACTGTTTGAAAGGTCAGGGTTTTAGGGTATGCAATGGGAGGTGGCGTGCCTTTTGGCGACTCCCCATTAAGGCAAGGGCTCATATGCGCGGAGGCCCTTCTACGGAAAGGGGTTCTCGGGCAAGATTGCTTACAGCGAGGCCTTTTCTGCGGAGGCCCTGGTGGGGAAGCCCTTTACAGGGAGGCTCCTTAGCCCGTCACGGGGAGGCCCCGTACAGGAAAAGTGGCCGCTTCCAGGACGATGGCAGATTTAATTCGTTAAGGCTTGTTGCGGAGAACTATGAAGAGGCCCTGACGTGGAGGCCCCTTAACCCTGGCTTGGCAGCCCAGTCACACCCTGGTTGCTTACTTTACTATAAGGGAACCCAGAACCGCAAAAAGGGAAATGGGAACCACTTTGCCACCAAGCCCCCGCCCCTGAAGCAAAGCTTGGGACCCCAAGATTTGGGGAAAAAGTGAGCCGGACAGCAATTGTATTAATTGTATTGTGGGGAGCCTTACGTGGAGGCCCCTTAAAAGGGGAGGGCCCTGGTTTTTTTTAGCCGGTTTGCTTTCAGAAAAATGCCTTTCAACTACCGGAAGCTCGGTCATGAAATCTTCACTTGCCCCAGGGCTCCAAGTATACAACTAATACCTACATTGGGGTCTAGGGTTTAGGGTACTCTGGGCTCCTTGACGCCTCAGGGTTCAGCTGCAGCTGCGTGGCGCCACCGGGCTCACCGGGGAGGGCAGGTCTGGGGCCTGTCCCGACTTCTTGCGCCTCGCCGCCATCGTTGCCAAGTCCGCCTTCGCTAGTTTAGGGTTTAGGGTTTAGGGTTTAGGGTTTAGGGTTTAGGGTTTAGGGTTTAGGGTTTAGGGTTTAAGGTTTAGGGTTTAGGGTTGTTTCACCATGCGTGAAAGGGGTAGGGAACGGCATGCCCTTTTTGCTGACAGGCCAAAGCCCCAAACCCCAAACCCTAACCCAAATCCCGTGTTCATGTCCCTATTTCAGGGGTTTGCGGAGGACGACAGGGAGATCACCTGGAGAGCTGGCCAAGTGAGTTGAAGTTGAATCAATCTTGCGGTTGGGAGCGCTGGAATTGCCTTGGCCCTACTTTTTCTGACCCTGGAGAAAAAGTGCATATACATTTTCGGTATAAGTAGCTACAATAGGAGCCCAGAACCAACAACAGTATTCAAGTATAGTACTCCAAAGCCCAGTTGTGCAAAACCTGCCCAGCTGGCATTGTTTCGAGCTACTTCAACCCAGGTTGCAAGCACACGGCAATCTTGGTAAGCAAATAATGTGAAGAGAGCAGAGGTACTGTTTCATATAGGGAACTGCCCACATAGGCTTCTCTTGAGGAGGCTGTCGGATCCATGCAGACCCTACTTGTGTCTAGGGCCTTTAAAAACATTCCAAGCCCAACAGTCGAATCGACAGGTCCCGAAAAGCCCCAACAAAAATTCTGTTTCCTCCGCCCTAAACCCTAAACCCTAAACCCTAAACCCTGAACGACTAAACCCAAAACCCTGCTTAAACTTCTGGCCTCATAGCGATCGCCGAGCTTTCGGTGCAGATCCCAGAAGCTCTCCATAGGAGCCTAGGGTTGGGGGGTTTAAGAGATTTGGTTTAGGGTTTAGGGTTTCGGGTTTAGGGCTTAAGGGCTTAGGATTTAAGGGCTTAGGGTTTAAGGGTTAAGGTTAAGGGTTTAAAGAGCGACTTGCCTTCGACACGTCAGTCGTTGGCTGGGGCGAGCGATGTGCTGTACTTGGGGAGCCTGGTGTGCAACTTCTCAAGGGAGTCATACTCGGACCCCAACAGATGTACCACTAAGAGGTTCCCTGAATATCCTCCTAAAATGGCCTTTCTATCCCCTTTACGGATCTTTAACCCGAAGCCCTAAACCCTAAAACCTGAACCCTAAACCCTAAACCCCCCAAGGGATACTATAGTAGAATAAATTTTGGGACCATGAGAGGAAGACTCTTCGTCAGTATTTCGACTCCTACATTCACATTAACCCTGGAAGCTCCAAACCCGCAAACCTCTGGAAGGCCAAGGCGTTTACAGGTTCAGGGTTTTGGGTTTAGGGTTTATAACATGGCCGCCCGCCCGAAGCTTTGGGCTAGACGAAGGACTTGCTTTTTCTTTATGGCTTGTTAGCGTACATCTTGTAGGAGCCCAAACGCACATACACACGAACCAAACAAAAACAACAGACAAAAATGCAACCAGAATGCTCTTTTTCAACCAGGACCCGGAGCAGCAACCCTTGCAGAGCCTTCATAAAAAGAAAGCCCTAAGCCCGCACCCCAGAAACCCGAACCCACCACGAAGATGCCAAAGAAGCGTTCATGGGCCCAAAGCCGGGGCCAATTGAGCCGCCGAAAAAATGAACAAAGTTGAGCCAGTATGGCTGCCCACAAAGCTGCAAGTGACCGGTCTGGCTCTATGGGTTGAAGCTTGGGGTATTTTGAGGTTTTGGGGCTTTGTTTGTTTTACCCTGTATATTACAACCTTTTCACACCGGGTAAACCCTAGTGCTAAGCCCTAAACCCCTAACCCCTAAACCCTAAACCCTAGGGTTGAGGGTTGGCTGGGGGCTTCGAATCTTTACGCGCGGAATGCAGTGTGAATGCAGGCGTGGAAGCAACTTAGCCCATTTCTTCCCTGACCTATATAGTCCATACTGGGCCTTAAAGCCACGAAATAGAACCCCCTTTAAGGTTCGAGGTTATAGGATCCTAGACCCTACACCCTGAACCCTATAAACCCTAAAGCGGTACATGGACCGCCCTGAGAGGTTCAGGGTGTAGGGTCTTCAGACCCTAACCCTTTTCCCTAAATCTTATAAACCCTAAACCATAAACCGTAAACCTTAAACCTTTTGATGTACAGGGTTGTGGTTCAGGGGCCCTCCGAGCTAGGGGCCCTTAATTTGGGATTTTTTGTGGCACCCGACTAGCCACGGCAATGCAGGGTTTGTAGGTCGGTCTCGAAGAACTGGAAAAAGAAACAAGGCTAGGTTGAAATGCACCTTGCATAGTCGCCATAGGGGTCAGGCTTTTGGGTTTGTACAGAATAACGGCCCACACCTCGGATCCCTAAAAAAAAGGGTAAGGGGCCCTACTCAGAGCCCATGCTTCCAATGCTTATAGAGTCTTGAGGGGCTTCTAGGGATCAGGGCTTATCGTTCAGAAAGTATAATTCTTGGAGCCCCTTTTTTCTACAGAATTTCGTGTTGAAGCGCTGTCCGTTCCACAAATATAGAAATAGAACCTGCCCCAGGCATCCCGAAACCCGCTCACAAAACCATCTGCAAAAACGTCGATCGCAGAAACGACTCTGCCGACCTCGGCAGCAACGGCGGCTTTGGCAAAGGTCTCGGCGATTTCCTCAGCCGCAGAAAGTGTTGGGCCATGCAAGGTGTCGGGGTTTAGGGTTTAGGGTTTAGGGTTTAGGGCTTAGGGCTTAGGGTTTAGGGGCATGAGCTCACTGGAACTATGCGGCGTGAAACAGTATAGCAAGGAGTTGAGGGAGGCATGTGACGGTTTGGGCCTTCAATTTAGGATTTAGGGTTTAGAGTTTCGGCTTTTCACGAGGCTAAAGGGCTTAGGGTTAACCCTAAACCCTCTCTCTCTCTCAGGCATTCGAAACGTCAAGCCTGCCCTAAACCCTAAACCCTAAAACCTAAACCCTAAACCCTAAACCCTAAACCCTGGGCAGAAAGCTTGGGTGGCACGATGGTGGCACCGTGGACCACCCACCCCCCCCCCCCCCCCCCGCCCAAATAAGGTTCATTGAGCCATCCCGAACCCATGGCCCGAAGCTCAACTCGGAAAATCTGGACACTCCAGTGGTGCAGGGTTCAGGGTTCAGGGTTCAGGGCTCAGGGTTCAGGGCTCAGGGTTCAGGGTTTACTGAAACTATTCAGGGTTCAGGTCCGGGGAAAGCATCGAGGAAAGTTTCAAGGAGCTTCGTTTTTGGGTTTTTTGAATAGTTTCAAGTTGCAGGGGGCTTGGGGGTTTAGGGTTTAGGGCTTTTGTTGCCGAATCCCTGAACCCGGCGATGCCACGGAGTTGCTGTCAGCGCACTCGGCAAGAACACTGGCAGCTCCCTGGGGCGCATTTTACAGAGGGCTTTACAGGGGCCAACACGGGACTTATGGGCAGCGCTTCATGAAGCAATCCTACAGTAATTCACCTGGAGATTGGAGGCTCTGAGGGTTTATAGGGCTTAGGGCGACAACAATGTCCGCTGAGAAAGCCAGAATCGCTTTGTTTCTTGCCCCCCCCCCCCCCCCCCCCCCCTGCCTCTCCATGCGATATGCCAAGGCCCGCCAGGCCCGGCGATCCTCTTGCCGGAAATGGGCGAGGCACTTTGCCTTGGCAGGGGCTCGCAGGGTTTAGGGTATAAGGTTTAAGGTTATCATTGTTGGAGAGACCTGTGTTGCAACAGTGTTGAAACAGGTGGCTTCTGAAGAGTTTCTGCAGGTTTCAGCGGCGTCTCCAAACCCGAAACCCGCCAACCGCCCCGAACCTTATGGGCTCGAGGGCATTTTGTCAAGTGGCCGGGTCTCGGTTTCCAGGGTTTAGGGTTGTTTAGGGTTAAGGGTTCAGGCTTTAGGATTCAGGCTTTAGGGTTGTTTAGGGTTGTTTAGGGTTTAGGGTTTAGGGTTCAGGCTTTAGGGTTCAGGGTTTAGGTGAGTTCATCCCGCTGAAGCCGAGAGCCCACTTGCAAAATGAGGAGCCCGAACCCAAAACTACCCTGGGAGGTTCACAGGACGCGTCACCTAGGCTTTAGGGTTTAGGAATAATTGCTAGCAGTATTCCCTTGTGGTCCCTATAATATTAGCATACTATAGTGACCCCCGAAAGCCCTGTTCGAACCATTTAGGCCCCCGTATTGCGCTTCCAACTTGGCTACAACTTAACTTTGCCCTGCTGATGGCGGCCCCTGAGCCGCCAAAGCGGGGTTACAAAGTCCAACAGGGATAACCCTAAGCCCTAAACCCTAAACCCTAAACCCTAAACCCTGACTCGGATGCTTGAACCAGCTTCAGCCAGGAGGCAGTGTCGACCAAGGCCTGCATCATGATTTCCGACTTCGATTCGTAGGGTTTTGTGGGGGTTGCTGCTCATGCCAGGATTGAGGCGCGGGTCACTTTCTTGCAGCCGGGCTGAGGGCGTTGCGGAATGCTGACTGAGGGCGCTGGTCACCAAACCCTAAACGGCCCTAAACCCTTTTGCAACCAGGCCCCAAAAACCCTAAACCCTAAAACCTAGACAGCAGAACCCCAAAGCTGTTTCGGGCTCGGGTGGTTCCGGAGGGCCCTTTTGCAGGAAACCGTGCGACCTCGGCTAAGCGCACGGGAGCTGATGATGTGGGGCTTTCAGCTAGAAGACCCCCTTGTGTTCCGTCTTTGCCAGAAACCTCCTGATATAGATGTGTTGGGGTGCGTAACTGAGGGCCATTGTTCAGGTCTACAGCGCAAGCTTCTTAATTATTTGCAACCTGCCACATGTCTGTCCATTCTGGGAGAATGCATCCCCTAGACCCTAAACCCGAAACCGAAACGTTGGGTTTTGGACAGGTCTGAGCAGGGTCGGGGCGTCGGGGCCTTTGGCGTCCAAACCATGTCCCAGTCCTTGCCTTGGCATTGGGATCGGGGAATGCGCACCAACCCAAAGCCAGAAACCCTAAACCCTAAACACTAAACCCTGCCCTACATAACCTCAAACCTTAACTTTTTTACTTCTTCCAGTAGGGGAATTCAGAAATCGATGGGGGGCAACCAAGCAGGGAGTCTCTGCAGCCTCGAGGCACAGTAGCACCCCCTGCAGGAATTACGGGAATACGAACCCCGCCCACAACCGCAGGAACTTTAGGGTTTTAGAGGTTTAGGGTTTAGGGTTTCGTGGCCCGAGTAGCTCGAGGCGACTGCACGGTGACTGCTGCGAGCACTTTGTCAAACACCCTCAACCCCTGCTCAAGCAACTGCCGACTCCTTACTCGCTGACCCAGGAAAACCGAGACACCAGCATAGTTGCTAAGGCATCCTCAAGTGACAACGGACTCAATACCGAAAAATCCCTCCTGGACTAGGAAATCAGAAATTTTGCCAACGGGTTCTTGAACTCCAAAGACCTCCGGACTGGACTCCGAGAATAGAAGATCCGCCGAGCTGCGGATCAAATACCTCACGTAAGTGAGGAATGACTCCGATCGCCTCTTTCATGGCAAGCTACAGTGCTCTGAAGGCAAGTGTACAGGGCTGCACAGTTCTTACTTCCCCCCCAAAACCCCAAATCCCTAAATCCTAATCCCTAAACCCAAAACCCAAAAACCCTAAAACCCCAAAACTCTAAAACCCTACAACCCTAAAACCCTAAAGCCCTAAAAACCTAAAACCCTAAAACCCTACAACCCTAAAACCCCACACGCTAAAACCCTAAAACCCCAACCTTAAAACCCTGAAACTCTAAAACCCTAAAAACTAAAACCCTAAAACCCTACAACCCTAAAACCCCACACGCTAAAACCCTAAAACCCTACGACCCTGAAACCCTAAAACCCTAAAGCCAAAGGGTTGCGAACCCTGAACCCTGGAGCTTGCTCTGCGAAAGCGAGATGTGCGGAAAAGTGCTGTCTAGTGTAGGGTTTAGGTTTTAATTAGGTTTTAGGGTTTAGGGTTTAGGGTTTAGGGTGTAGAGCGCAAGTGGCACAGGACAAGGTGCGACACCGGCTAGGGCTTCACAAGGGTCTTGCTTGGTATCCGTTTTTTAGGCTTAGCAAGACCATAAGGCGCAAGCCTTGCTTGCATTCCCCAACAGAGAATCAAAAGCCACAACCAAAACAACGCAACCAAACAGCCCCAACGCTAGAGCGACATCTGCGGACCCACCTTTCTCCATCCACTTATGCATGCAAGCACACATTTGCGAACATCATGGCATGTAGTGAGAGTAGTATCTCATGCTGAAGGTTTTTCTAGCTTATGTGAGGGGTTACTACCGTCGAATATTCGCAGGGAGCTTCAAAAAGGGCCCATAGGAACCCTAAACCCTGAACCTTGAACCCCTGAGAAGAACAGCAGCAGCACTCATGGCCGACTCACAAATCTTCACCCTGAACCCTATACCTGAACGCTCTTTTTGTCCTTCATTTTTGGAGCTGTTATAGGGGCTCTAGTCATAGTATACTACCCTAAAAAGGTACTACATCGGAGCGTTTAGGTAGATCCCCCTAAACCCTAAACCCTAAACCCTAAACCGTAAACCCTAAACCCTAAACCCCATGAGATCAACCCCGGCTGGCGAGTTGCAGCGAGAGAGCGACGGTCACGCCGCACAACGTACCCACATCACCTCTGAGGCAAGGACGCCTTAAGAGCTTTCGAGTTGCGTGCGTTTAGGGTTTAGGGTTTAGGGTTTAGGGTTTAGGGTTTAGGGTTTAGGGTTTAGGGTTTAGGGTTTAGGGTTTAGGGTTTAGGGTTTAGGGTTTAGGGTTTAGGGTTTAGGGTTTAGGGTTTAAAGGGCTTAAGTTGGGATGTTCGTTTGGAGATGAAGCACGAGTTCGATGTTCATGTTCAAGGATCCAGGCAAGCTTTAAAGACCGCCAGTCCAGGTTTGGCATTGATAAGGCAAGCTGAGAAGAGATCGCTCCATAACAGTTTCCAGGTTTCCACACATTCGGTCCCCCGCTTTCACTCTAACCCCCCATCAAAACAAAAAGAAGTAGAATCTTCATAAAGACAGTTAACCCTAAGGGCCTAAGCTGTAAACCCCTCAGTGAGTGCTTTCTGGTCCAGTGGCGACCTGACACAAGTGAACCGGCCGCTTTGCGGATGGGCAGCTCCTGCCAAGGTGGGGAGAGAACGTTGGCGGGAGGGCAGGGTGGAGAAGGGGAGGGCGGGGTTTGGCATGGGATGCTATGAGCAACAAATAATAAAAAGAAAAAACGAAAAAGAACATCTGCGCCAGAGCCTTGCCACCGAAACATTGTTTTCATAAAGCCACCTGTGGTGGAAATGCTCAAACGCCCAAACTCTGTTGCTTCCGGACTCGTGCCTGTCACCGGAATAGTCAAACGCAACTTCCTTTCAATCAGTGATCATATGTCTACCCATACAGTAAACCCCAAAAAGTTGGAAACCTTTTGAAGGACAAATTGTGCTGGAATTCCCTATACTTTACTCTTAGGTTCCAACTTGTTGGCTTCTACTATACAATCACCCTAAACCCTAAACCCTGAAGCCTAAACCCTAAACCCCAAGTACCCATATGTATAGTATACAACTTACAGTTGAGGCTTCCACTCGCGCCTTCCATCCCCCACTCCCCAAGTTGCAATGAAAACTGGTTTAGGGTTTAGGGTTTAGGGTTAAACCCTAAACCCTAAACCTAAACCCTAAACCCTAAACCCTATTGGAACTGCTGTGTAAGTAAGGTTGCGACCTCCGTTTCTGGGAGCACGCTCTGAAGCTTCGTCAAAGAGTCAGAGAGGGCCAGAGGAGAGGGAAGAACGTCTGATATATGGGTGGTTGTCACAATGATGGTCCCTTCTTGTATCCCTACTATAATACGGCACCTAATATTTAGGGTACCCCGAAAAGGGATCATTATTTTGACAACCTCCCATATGTTAAGTATCAGGCTTTGACAGTAATGTTAACCTCACATCTATAAATGGGGTGGCAACTGTAATATTCGCCGGGCCAGAGGGGCTCAGCCGAAGACTACTTTCCATTACGGGAGGTTTTCGGGCCGATGTGTGTAAACAAGTCTATATAGGGGGGTCCGGTGAAAATAACAATGGGGTGACAACAGTAATATTTGGCCGGGACCAACAAACAGAACAAGTCGGGCCCACAGAGCAAAAGGTGCTGCAGAGAGCAAGCAGAACCCTTCGAGACCAAGCACAGCAGACCCTGACAGCGAACCCCCCCCAAGACCCCCAGAATCCGCATTATTGGCACCCACTCGTTTTTTTCTACCCCTCCAAACCCCGGGGACCAAAACAAGTTTTGGGGGGGGGGGGGGGGTTATTAAAGCGACGTTAACATTAGGCCTGTGGTTTCGTGATGAAGCCAAGTCGCACTAGGAGCTGGCCACCGCACCCCCGTGTCTTCACGCACAAACTCTGTCGGGGCAAGTTTTTTGCGATCAGAAAGGATGCTCCGCAAGTGACAAGGAGACCCCTCTGACCGTGGAACCCAATCAAAGATCGTTGTTGACAAGTATGAGAAATGCCAACCAAAACGAATGTTCCAGCATCTGTCCCTGCGTGCCCGCTAGCTAAATGTATGCGTAACAAAAACAGCGCGCAAGGATTTATTGAATCCGCATGTTCTTGCAGTACGTCAGTCTGCCAGAAGTTGTGAGGGTCCCTGTAGGTAGATTTGGGGGGACACATGCTCCTCGGCCGCAGCAGTCGCCAACGCCTGAAGCTTGCTTGGGCTGTTGAGAGCGTGCCCTGAACCCTAAGCCCCCTAAACCCTAAACCCTAAACTCTAAACCCTAAAGGACAAAGGGCTCACACAGGTTGCTGATGACGTTGACGAGGGCTTCTTGCACAAAGGCTGCTCACGTAACGGCGTTGCAAGATTCCCTCAGCATGACACATCCAAGCACCTCAAGGGTTTAGGGTTTAGGGTGCTCATGCTTCAGCTGGGACGGACTACCCATTCCTATCTCATTCGGGAGCGGTTCGGCGACCCCTTCGGGCTTGAAGTGTCCAGCAGTCATTGCGAACATGAAGCCGCAGTCTCCGAGATCTAGGCGCTCTACTGTGTAAGCGTTTCACTCCGAGCAAACGTAGTTTATGCCTCTCTACGATTGCAGAACTCTTGGGCGAATAGTACACATAGCAGTGAATACAAGCATCAACAACTAAGTGGGAAGGTTGTTTAGGCCTACAATATAAACGAAGTTCATGACACGCTGGCGGGGAAGTAGCGCCCAATGATGGAAGGCTGCAGCCACATGAAGTCATTGTCTTACAGTCATACAAAAAAGGCACAACCCTAAAACCCTAGAAACCCTCGCATGTGTTTGAATCTGATCGCCCAAGCCGTCTACGAACAACCAACTCGTCCTGACCTCGATTGCGCGTCGCAGGGGAGGGTGGCCCTCAAGAGAGTCCTTATCTCCAGGGAAGGCGCGAACTCCAGGGGATGAGTTTAGGGTTTAGGGTTTAGGGTTGACGTCTTCAAGTTGAGGACTTCAGGGCCAGAAGGTTACGTGTCGGTAGTCAGGACGGAGGATGTAGGGTCGAGGTTCTGAAGGCTTGGGCTTTCCCTACCGTATTTAGGATACCGGCGCAAGGCCAGGGCTTCGGGAAAATTGACGAAGTGTGTCAAAAATTGTAGAGGACTAGATTGTGTATCTTGGGTCATGGCTCCAATAGCGCCCAGCTGTTGAAGCTGCAAGAATGCCGATGGCACGGACCACTCTACAAAACATGTTGTTGAGGATCGTTTGGGTTCAGGGGTTTAGGGTTTAGGGAACCTTACACCCCAAATCCTTCATCCCGTAGAGGTTTTCAGAGCAAACACTTGAGGAGGACTCTATTTCCACCTGCCCCTATTCGCACCCCCTACCCTACGATCTGCTTAAGAACCCTAAGAACCCCTATATAAAGATAAGAATCCTTATCTTGCCTGAATTTTGGGGAGTTCTTAAGCAAATAGGAGTAGCCAAAACCCAACCCCGAGGCCCTAGAGAATCCTTATAGAGGATGCCGAGAAACCGAAATAGGGTTTAGGGTTTAGGGCAAACCCCATAACATCGAATCTTCACTAAACGCCCTAAACCCTTAACATTGTTACTCTTTTCTGGATTCCTGCAGTCCTACAGCGGGTGCACGTATTGCGGCACGGGAGCCGCAGTGCGTGCCAGCCACGTCGTAACGTCGGCTAAAAGCCGGAGCTCCATGGTGGGTATCCTGCTCTGTCTATGGTCTATTGTTTTCTGGCTTTCCTTAAGAACCCAAAACCTACTTTTTTTATAGATTTCCTAAGAATCCTATAAGGGGTTTTATGGTACTAACCTGCAAAAAAGTCGGTTTTGGGTTCTTAAGGTTAGTAAGGGCTTCTAGTGCTGCTTTGGGGTGGAAGGCGGGGGGATGATATAGGAGAATAGTTGAGGTTTGGAGATCCCTGTGATCATTTTTCAGGCTTGGGCTTTTCAGGGCTTGTGGTCTTACAGGGCTCTAGGGAAGGGAAAATGATCCGTAACAAAGTGGCGCTTGTTTTTTGAAGGGGAAACGCTCCGTAACGAAGTGGCGCTTGTTTAAAAATCGGATGTGGTGGGATTCTTTGGGCGGGTGGGTGTTGGTCGAGAGAATGGCTGGACTAGACTCTTCACGCTCAGAACTGCTGAACACTAAACCCTAAACCCTCAACCCTAAACCCTAAACCCCCAACCCTAAAACCCTAAACCCTAACCCACCTCTGGATCGACAACGCTGCAAGCATCGCAACGCAATGCGTGGCGCCGCCGTGGCGGCCCGGAGAGAAGGGCGTGCTGCGAAGCCTAGGGGCGGATTCGGGGAACCAGCCAGGGAAGGGGGGAAGGGGTTTAGGGTTTAGGGTTTAGGGTTTAGAGCTCAGGTTTTAGGTTTTAGGGTTTTGTTTCTTGCTTTTGCAACTTTTAGTTTTGGGTTTTTCGGAGGCTCCCCAACAAGTTCTCGCCTGTTGCGTGCAGTGACACTTTCAAGAAGATACAAGAGCTTCCTTTAACCGGAGACTGAAGATTCTGTCCTTTTGTCAAGTGAGCGTAGCGCAGGAGCCTGCAGAATTAGCAATATCAGAATCATCTTCTCAATCACTGCATAGGAACGGTCGAAGTCTAAACTGCCCGAGAGAAACATTCGTTTAGGGTTTAGCGTTTACCTAAGTCTGAGAGATTCTCGTCTCATAATCTCAGAGCCTGAGTGCAAGAGTGAAGGTTTCGGACCCACTACCCATGGTTAGGTTTCAGGGTTTAGAGGGCTTCAGGGTTCATAGCGCTTGCTGGGTTTTAGGGTTTATACGGGATAGGGTTTAGGGCTCAGGGTCAATGTTAATAGGGTTAACAGGGTTGAGAGGGTTCATGGGGTTAATGGGGTTCCTTCTGCGCAGAAGACAAGCAAGCGCTAGTCACAGGGTGGCAACTCATAGGAACCCCCCAAGTCGAAAACCCAGAACCGCCGACATTGTGCTAGGGAAGGGTTGAGGGTTTCGTGTTTAGGGTTTAGGCACATTGAAGCACCACTAAATCCTAGACCCTTTTTTTAACCCAGGACTGCTGAGTCTACCCTAAACCCGAAAACCCTAAACCCTGAACCCACTTGGCACTTTGGGGGTGCCTTCCTTCCGGGAGTCCCCTTTTGGGATCCCCCAGCTCAGTTTATGTTTCTTGGCTGCCACCCGTCGAGTCTAGCGCGATGCCCAGCTCCACTGGGCAAGGGCGGCAAGGGTTGAAGGTTTTGGGTTCAGGGTGTTTGGGGTTTCAAGAAAAGCTCGAAAAAGGACTTCCTAAACTCTGACCCCACGCCCTACACTCAAACCCTTAAACCCATCAACCCTAAGCCCTAAGCCCTAAACCCCAAAACCCTGAACCCTAAACGAATGGTTCTCGCCCCCGGGGTCGGCACCGGTAGAGGCTGTGAGCCATCACGGACAGCGACACATCGTCCAAGCGCTCCTCTTCCATCAAGCCTCTGTGAGTTTAGGGTTTAGGGTTTAGGGTTTTTGGGGTTTTAGGGTTTTAGGGCTTAGGGTTTTAGGGTTTAGGGGTTTAGGGTCTCAAGTCCCTTCTTCATCCTAAACCCTTCTTTGCTTCAGGTCTCCTGGGGTAGCTTGCACCCACAACCCTAAAGCCCAAAACCCCAACCCTACAACATCCGAAACCCCTAAACACCCTAAACAAGTAAAATCCGAATGGCATACTGAAGCCTGAATCCCAGAAGGTATTTGCCTTCCACTTTTTTGGGAAAAGCTAAGGGTTTAGGGTTTAGGGATTTGTTGCTTTTTTGGCACGTTTAGGGTTTAGGGCAGTTTAGGGTTTCGACTCTCACACTAGCGGAGCGCGGGCGAGGACTCTGGTTCAAGCTTGAAGACGTGAGACACGGCTTACTGGCAACTCAGCTCAGCCAACCCCCCCCCCTTCAAACGCCTACCATACAATGACCCCGTATCTCCAGACCCAAGCTGAACTCGAGAAGCGCTGCAGCCAAGGACGCTAGGTCTAAGGTGCCCGAGGCATGCTCTCCAACCAGCATTTAGTAACAGTATACACCCATCAAACTCCCTGCCTCAGGCACCGCTCCTTCCGGCCGAAAGCATGAAACAACTCGGGAAGCGCGGCAGTCGAGGACTAGCGTCGGACTGCAGCCAAGGACGCTAGGTCTAAGGTGCCCGAGGCATGCTCTCCAAGCAGCATTTAGTAACAGTATACACCCAGCAAACTCCCTGCCTCAGGCACCGCTCCTTCCGGCCGAAAGCATGAAACAACTCGGGAAGCGCGGCAGTCGAGGACTAGCGTCGGACTCTATATAGGTCTAAGGTGCCCAAGGCATGCTCTCCAATCAGCATTTAGTAACAGTATACACCCAGCAAATTCCCTGCCCCAGGCACCGCACCTTCCAGCCGAAGGCATGAAACAACACCCAAGGAGCCTACTGAATTCCTCTCTCCCTCTCAGCTCACATGTTTCAGCGCCAGGAGGACCGGAGCACCGTGGCAAAATGCAGCTTTCTGGGCAGCCGCCCGGGCAGCCATGCCGCTGCATCATGTCCTCCTCTCTGTTCACCCTCCAGCGTCAGGAGGACCACTAGTTGCCGGGAAGCGAAGCCGTCGGGGCCAATGCGCCCAGGTCTCCGTTCACCGCCGCCGTCCATTCGGACCGCCGGAACGCCAGCAGCTCCCAGGCAGGCGCCCAGCCTCCGTACGCCCCTTTCAAATGTCCTTGCAAGGCTGGTTTCCTGCACCCAAGACGCCCGCATGGAGCCCGCGGCGACAAGCACATGGACCTCTCCTCCTCTCTGTGCACCCTCCGGCGCCAGGAGGGCCGTGCACATGGGAGCCAGCCCGCAAACTGCACCCTGAAGGACTCGTGGCCTCCCGAGCACGACACTCCCGCGGCTGTGCCCTGGCGGCACGGGTCTCGATTCTCCGCCTCTCTTCACCCTCCAGTGCCAGGAGGACCATGCACGTGGGAGCCAGCCCGCAGAGGATATGTGGTCTCCCCAACACGATGCTCCCGCGGCTGTGCCATGGCGGCACTGGTCTCGATGTGGCAATAGAGTGGGGGTGCCAGCCTAGGTTTTTGTTTGGACTTTCTTGGCCCCCTTCCCCAAGCCCAGCGTGGCATAGAGGTCGCGGCTGTGGCCAACAGGCCATGCGCGCAAGCGTGCAGTTGCGCTCGCGAGCACGCGGGCGGCCGAGGCGGCATGTCAGCGCCGGCAGTTACGAGCCATGATATAGCCTCATGATGCAAGGTCCAACAAGCAGTCGGCCACGCCACCTGCTCCGAGAAAGAGGCCCGTCGTTGCTGGCGGGGACTATGAGCCCGAAGCGTGCACTGGCCTAACCCATGAAGCCTGGGGGAGCCACCTTGTTTACTGCCAGGAGCGCGTCTCGCTGTCATCCTGGACACACACCCACACACACACACACACACACACACACACACACACACACACACACACACACACACACACACACACACACACACACACACACACACACACACGCGTATGTACGCTGGCTTGCGCTCCACCGACAAGTGAGAATAGGGTGCAGATCATGACAATGTGAGGGAAATGCAGTGGAGCGCAGGGCGCGGAGCCACTGGCCAAGGGTTCATGCACCTGTACTCCATGCTGCGGATTCTGGGATTCGGGGTGATTCCAAAACAAAACGGCGGTATACGCATATTCTGCGGGACTGGGCTTTGGGGTGATTCCAAAATATTCTGCGGGACCGGCAGACGCGGCAAACTACTGCGGAACTCCATGAACATGCACGAAGCAGCGAATTCTGGGATTCAGCCGACTCCATGCAGCGAATTCTGGGATTCCGGACCGCAGACGCGAAAGTTGCTGCGGAATTCCACAAACATGCACGAAGCAGCGAATTCTGGGATTCAGCCTAAGCGGGTCGGGGCATGCACCTGTACTGATGCAGGCGAGCGGATTGCCAGCCATGCCTGGCACATCGATGTACTGGGGCATTCCGTTCAAGGTTGGGTCGAAGGACTCCGGTGTGACCCGCACTCCATGTAGCACATTCGTGGGAGCTGGATCGGGTTTGACGTCTCCGAACCAATCCGTGTTGGTTTCGCCAGCTGGGATTGCCCACAGGATGTTGTACCAGTAGAGAGGGAATCGATCCACGCAGACTGCTGGGTAGTAGTTGGCGACTGGATCATCATTGGTCGGTGTGAAGACCGGTGGCACTCCAGCAACGCATGCTGCAGGTGGGACGTACGGGCCGTGCCCATCATAGTCCGCTGCTCGGCGTGGGTTGTACACTCCCATTGGATGAAGAAGGACATCCGGCAGGCCAATGCCAAGGGATCTGAGGTAGATGTCACGGGTCTGGGCTGCTCTGGATGTTGACTGCACCAGCTTCCGAGCATCTTGGGCACCCCAATGAGTTGGCACCGGAACAACAAGATCTGCAAAACAGGCTGGGATCCGGGCAAGCCCCCACTGCCTATCGAAGTGCAGTGACCAGTACACATACACATCCGGAGTAGCTCCCTCCATGAAGAGAAAAGTGGGAGGAAGCACGAGGCGGGGGACCGACATGTCCTTGCGGGAGGCTATCCAGCCTGAGAGAGCCGCGTACACCACTGGGCCTGCAAGTGGCTCAAGCCCGAGTGGGACGGTAGACTCCATTCCTTGGCATCTCGAGCGGTAGGTGACCTGGTGTGTGCGTGTCTCGTATGCATCGTGTCTCTTGTCGAGCGTGTCTGTTGGATCGACGTAATGGATGCCACGCAGGTACAGCCCACCATCTCGGACGATTGTTGACAGCCCGGCCAGATTGCCATACATTTGTAGACCCATGTCGTGAAAAGTCAGATCCTGGTTGCATGGCAGCTGGTCACCCATGGTACATAGCCTGTTGATGTCTTGACCTGGAGGACCAGTGTTGGAGAGCGACAATTGCCCAGTATGCCTGGATGAAGGCCGTCTGTGGGGCGGTCCAGTCGTCTTCGTCATTGAAGATGTCCACTGAGCGCCAGTTGTCGGGATCATTGCCCAGAAAGGCTAGCTGTATCGAAGCTGGGATGAGTCCCTTCCATGGGCCTGCAGATGTTGGATACCTGGACCGCCAAATCTTTGACCTCCATCCAGTCAGGATCCTCGCCATTGAACCACGCCGCGTCCAGCAGATCATGGAACTGTCCCCAGAATTCCAAAACCCACTCGCGACATTTGGCCCCTTGTTTGTCCTCGAAAGTGTCAATGAGCTGCTTCAAATCCCAAAACTGAGAATTGTTCTCCCACGTGTCCATCAGAGTTCTGCGCATCGGTGTGAGATACCTGCCGCCTTGAGGGTTCGCATTGAACTCAGTGAACACCAAGTGGGAGATGGATGTGTTCTGAAGCGTGGATCCCAATTGATGGAGAGTTTCAGCAACCCACTGGAAGTCAGTTGATCTGGGCATCGCGAACGGAAATGGGCGGACTCGACGAGGACTGCCATCCCTGTTCAGAACATGAGTAGACCATCCCTGCCATGCCCCAATGAATGCTGAATCCACTGAACCGGCCAGTGTCATGACCCAAACCCAGGCAACAGCACGTCGCAACGTAAACGCCGCTTGGGGCACATCAAGCCAGGGAGCTGGGAAGAGCACTTTTGCATCCGGGTGCTGTGAAAGAGAGGCTGCCATCCAATGATCAAGCCCAGGCGAGTACAAACTATTCCTCCACCGACGCACGTCAGTAGCGTATGCTGGATAGTTGGCTTGCACCAGCCATACACGAGTGAGGGCGGTTGGGAAGTAAAGCTGACCACTGTTGGCATCAGAGGCAAGGGCTACTGCGTAGCCTGCGAGTGCCATGAAGTTGGAGCCCCTGCCAGCCTCACCATATCCAAGGGCTGCATTCCGGACTAAAACCGCTGACTGCTGGAGCGTTGGTGCCTGGTCGCGACGGATGAGCTGCCGTACTGTGTCCTGGTCAATTGGCGTGCCGGTAGGTACTTCGATCACATCGAAAGTGAAGGTTGGATTTTTCGTGGCCATAGGTTCCACATTGGTAACAACCTGCACATGCCAGTCGACATAGTTCAGGACTGTGTCTACAGCCGCAGAGGCTGCACTCACTCCCATAATGCGACGCTCCACCACGCCAGACATCGATGCGAGCCATCCCACCTGCTTGTCTGCTGCCTTGACGACTGACAGCAAATTCTTTTCCGCCTCCTGGCGGTCGGCCTCCGCTTGAGCCTGCTTGCGCTTCTCCTCCTCGACCAGTGTCGCTAGGTCCTCAGGCTTGGGTTTGCTGTCTTCACTCCCTGCCGCCTGTTCGCTGGCCAACTTTGCTGCCGCTTCCAAATCGGCCGGGCCGGCGGCTGCAGCCATGACAGATGACGAGTGAGGTCTTGAGCTAGACGGGAGGACTGGTGTGCTTGAGCCAAAATGGCTACGGTTTAGGGTTTAGGGCTTAGGGTTTAGGGTTTAGGGTTTAGGGTTGCTGTTTGCCTGCGCTGCCGGCAATGCGACCTTCGATGGCGGGTGTACTTTCTCGCTACAGTCACAAAAGGGTTTTGGGGTTTCTAGGGTTTAGGGTTTATGGGTGGATTTTTGTGGGTGCTGAGAGGGGCGGGAAGGGGCAAATCTGTAGCAGGCTGTTTGAATTTTGAATCATTGGCCTCTGAACCTCCCGTTTGGCAGCTCAAATCACTCCCCGGCCCAAAGTAAGAAACAAACAAATGAGAGCTTGGATTTCGTAGTTGCAAGAAACTGAGGGGCCGGAATTGTTACTTAACTCTCAACCAAAGTGTCCATCCTTCACTGTACAAAGAGGTGTTGCTGTGGCCCCAGTCCGGCTTCTTCTGCCCACCCCTGCTTGGCCAGTTTAAAAAGCTAGCGTCTTGAGCACGGTACCAGTATATTCGAACCAAGTTGTCTTCCATCCCATTTCTTAGTCGTTGAATTCATAAGCCCCTAAAAAGGGTACACAGTCAGTTCTGTAGGGGACGATAATGTCCCAAAAAAGTGTGAACTGTACACATTCAGCTACTGAGCTTTCCTAAATCCTGC